CACCCCTAGAAGGGTGAAAGGCTGTGATGAGAAAGCTACAGGGCAACAAACAAGTTACTCTCTGAGCAAAGTGACAGGAACCAGTCAGAAATGTCAAGGAGGCTCTGAGCCAGGCCCTACTAAGCCACAGCCTCCATGCCCGGCCCGCCCATCAGCAACGCCACCCGTCCCAGCCAGGCATCCACCCACTTGAGACCCAAAAAGTGAGGCACACAGCCTGGTAATTCCTAGAAGGGCCCAGAGGAATTCACACCAAAGTGACCCAACCAGATTCTTCCTCTGCTCAGAGAATGAAAGAGCCTATCAACAAGTCAAGCAAAGGTCAGGAGGGCTGGTGAGTCAAATGGACAGCGAAATCCCCACTCCCAGGGCAGCTGTACGATCTTCCCCACGACACTGCTCCACTGAGTCAGGGCACATCAACTTCTTTATCACAGACCACTTTCATAGAGCTGTGTGAACTGAGGCCAGTCGCTCTCAGCCAGGAAGTTTAGGGACCTAAAGAGCCAGACCACCAGGCTGGGCAGGGGAGACCCACGCGTTTTCCCAGTCTGGCCCATCCACCACCCCACACCCTAAGTGGTACCAGACGTAAATACTCCTACTTCCTGGAACCTACCTCTGTTCCTGCTGTTCCCTCCGACTAGAATCCCTCTGCTCAGTCCAGATAAATCCCATCCGTTACCTCCTCGGGAAATCCTTCACCAGCCAGCACGCTCCATTGCGTGCTTTCCGAGGACTGGCTGCAGCCCTTGCGTGGTGCTCACCCCATCACGTGAGGAAGGAGGCCTGTCTTAGTCACCTGTCTCACTCAGACAAAGTCTGGCCCATCCAAGGTGCTCCACTCGTGTTAGGTGAATGAATGTAAGTCACTTCACCTACTCCTCTGATACGACGGCAAAAAAATGACAATACTACGTTATATTGGAAACAGTTCCCTGCTAAACAGAATTCCAGTTTCAATTCAACCAAGGCAAGACCTTAGAGGGAAACTGTGCTCATCATTTTGCAATCACAAAGGAAAAAGGCGCTTCCCAGGTGGCTCAGTGGTCAAGAATCCGCTGCCAACACAGCAAATGTGGGTTAGATCCCTGGATCAGGAAGATCCCCTGGAGAAGGAAATGGCAACCCACTCCAGTATTCTTGCCTGGGAAACCCTATGGACAGAACAGCCTGGTGGGCTACAGTCCATGGAGTCGCAAAGGGTTGGACAGGACTGAGCAAATGAGCACCCATGTACTACTATCTGGCACTAGAGAGGGAGGGGGAACACGGGGGATGGAACAAGTCACTAAACTGACAGGACTGTCTGGGGGAAGACACACAACAAAAATAGGTCTCTGGGCAGACAAGTTAGGAAAATACAACTGATGGCTACTAAATAGGTTGGCGTGGATAGTGCTCATACAGATTTTTTTTTTTTAACAAAGGAGATTTGAAACATTTGAGACCAATTAGAAAATGCTCTCTTATACAACATGTATTTTAGCCATAAGATAACTCTGCTCCAAGATGTTAACCCAGGCTAAAATATGAATTATTTCCAAAAGAGTCTATGGACATCTAATGGAAACGAACTATAAGAAACTACTTCGTTTAGGGTATGTGTCACTAATAAGGTTATCTGTGATGCAGAAGCAGGTAATCAAACTTATGGTTATCAAGAGCAAAGGGGGAGGGATAAACTGGGAGATTGGGATTGACACATAGACATGACCGTATGTTGGGTTGGCCAAAAACTGCCTTCAGGTTTTCCCGAACAAACTTTTTGGCCAACCCAATATCAAATAGGTAACTAATAAGGACCTACTGTGAAGCACACAGCAAACTCAACTCAATGCTCTCTAGTGATCTGTATGGGAAAAGAATCTAAGAAAGAGTGGATATATGTACACGTGTAACTGACGCACTTGGCTGGACAGCAGAAACACAACATTGTAAATCAACTACACTCTAATAAAAATTAATTAAAAACAAAAGAAATCTGTGATGAAATGGGAGGCATGCGTAAGGCATTTCAGCAGCATACCAAAGGACCATGGTTATCTTGAAAATCAAACCATGTAATAGATCACTGCACTGTGAGCTGAACTAGCCACATTTTTCTCATGGAACATCATTTTTACTTAAAGGTACAACTGAAGAGTTTCCCTGATGGCTCAGTGGTAAAGAATCCACTTGTCAATGCAGGAGACATGGGCTTGATCCCTCATTCATTAAGATCCCACATCTTGGAGCAACTAAGCCCATGGGTCACAACCATTGAACCTGTGTTCCAGAGCCCAGGAACCGCAATTACCGAAACCCACACACCCTAGAACCCATGTTCCAAAACAAGAGAAGCCACCGCAAAGAGAAGCTCATGCATCACAGTGAAAAGAAGCCTCCAATCGCCTCAACTAGAGAAAAGCCAGAAGAGCAACGAAGATCCAACACATCCAAAAATAAATTAAAAAAAAAAATTTAACATGACATTACTTAAAAAAAAAAAAAAGTACAACTGCAAAACTATGGTTATTTAGATTTCTGTATCTGACCTACACTTTCCCAAAAAGCAAGCCAAATGAGCTTGACATTGTTAGAAAAACTGACAGTATGTGTTACCAATGACAAAATCCGAGCTTTCAAACGAAAATTTGAATTTTGGAAAACTGCTTCTCAATAATTAAAAGATAAGCAGGCTTTTTTTTTTTGCTGCTAAGTAATACTGGTTTGGGAAACAGATTCAGTTTAACAAATCCTTAACCTAAGTTTTGGTTTTCATTCTTCTTACTGGTTTCAATCAATTTTTTTAATTATAAATTAGAAGACCCACAAGAATAATTTTAGTCATGGCAATCTAGTTGCCTAGTAGAAGACAACTGCCAAAATTTTTATGACATATCAGTGGCTGTTCTATGGTAAAACATTAAGTATGCAAATAAGGAAAATGTCTAAGTATTTCACACCAACAGAACTTTAAGAACATATACACAATACAGGAATACAATAACAAAAACAGGCTGATTATAAAGTGAAAAATGGAATTCTGAGTTCCTTTGGTTAGCTTTCTGAGTCACCTAATTGTAATGTTACTCAAAATACCAAGAAAGTAACAAAACTGTTAGCTCAGTGCAAAAAAAGCCTTTTTCTCCAAAATCTCTCAAAGTTGAAATATCAGATAAACTAACATCCCCCAGTGATGTCCCATCTTTAAAGAGCTACAAGTAAAAAAACTGCTGTAGAATGAGTAGTTAATTGCTAAGATTTCCAAAATGGCAGAGGATCTTAAGAAAACTGCTGAATATTTTGGCTAACAACTCTGGAATCCACTGAGCTACCACTGTCATTTTTGCTACAGGCTTCAGGAGGTGTCTGATTTAGCCTAAAGAAAAAAAAAATGCATTAAAGGAAAATACTGTGTTAAAATATTCACATTTTTTTTTTCAAACTTTTAACCTCAAACTTCTGCTTTGGGTTATCAAGGTTTCAACAATCTATGCCTTCTCAAGTGTCATTCTGAGCCTATACATCTTACTTGAACCTGAAAACTTAATCAAGAAATGTCACAGCGATTTTTAGGAAATTCAACAGTCCTGATGAGGTCTGGTGATGATCTGTTTCTTCCTTTCCCCCTGCAATTCATTACAATAATCTATTACCGTGTGAGACAATATCCTGGTAATAATTCCACCTTAAAATTCTGCAGGTGTTTTCACTCTGTAAGAGGCCATACATTATCAGCTCACTCAGGGGAGAAATGGTACTGCCTCAAAATATTACTAGTGTCTAAAAAGAAATGATAGGCAATGCACAATGTTACTAATTTAACATTAAATACATACTAACCAGGAAAAACTCAGAGAAGTTCTGTAACAACAACGTGTTCTGTAAAAACAACTTCCTAACATCCCTATGAAGTTACCTTTTCAATCAAAGGTGCTGAGAAGCTAGGATATTTAATAAGGAGGCTAATTCAAGCAGATTATACGAAGTGTGTTTTGGACCAGAAACAAACAAACAAAAACAAAAAACTAAATAGTTAACATTTTAAGCTATTTTGCATAATTGTTCTTTTATTACTGTATTTCAGAATTCATCCTGACAGGTAGCAGAAGTTATCTACGCTTGAAAAACAACCCAAGCAGATGAAATAAAGGAGCATTGTTTTGTTTTTTGTTTGTTTGTTTTTTAGGAGCATTGTTTTTAAAAGACAACTCATCGCCTAAAAATTCCTGAAGTGAGGCACAAATGTTAATTGACCCCATTCTAAAAAAGTGACCTGGAATACTACACACTAGTACATTCTTGAACTCAATCACATTCCTTACTGTGGGTTTCTTCATATTTTTTACAACCAGTTAACACAGCTGAGGGTATCTGAATAAAATTACAATTAAGCACTATAAGTTTAAGCTTAAAAACTTAATATTAAATGGATAAAAGTGTCAGGAAACTCAAGAAAGTGTCCAGGGGTATCTTAGGTCCATCATACCTCATTTTGCTCTGTCCATTTAACGCAGTCTTTTAAGTTAAACGTTCATTAACAAAACTCACGTGCCAAAACCATGCCCCGAAGCGGGTTATGTGACACGCCTCATCTGAAATAAAATGCTTTCTGCCGGGCCCCGGCACATACCATACAGCTTCCCCATCCCCTAAGTAACATGCTACATACACTTCCTTCACCGCTACCGTGGGAAGGGAGGGTGTGCCTCGGTGCTTACCGATGCCCGGAGCCACATAGATGAAGTAGAGGCAAGACGAGGACAGGGAGAAGAAGAAGATGAAGGCGAGGAGCGAGCGATTGGAGACCCGCATCATCCGCTTAAGCACAGACATCTTCCTCTTCCCGGCCGGCAGCTCGGGCTGCGCTCTCAGGCCGGACTTGGGGGCACCGTCCAGGCCCTAAACTTCCATGAATGTGCTAAAAACAAACACCACCACCCCGAGACTGCAGCGGGGCCGCGCGGGGAGGCTCTGGGGAAGCGGGGAGGAGGAGAAAGGAAGGAGCGGACGGAATGAATGAGAGGCCGGGAGGATGCGGGGCGGGGAGAGCGGACGCGGGGCCCGGGTCCGAGGACCAAAGGACCCGAGGAGGCCGTGGAAAGGCGAGGAGCGGCGTTCGACGCGCCCGGTGGCGGCGGGAGGAGGGGCTGCAGGTGGGGAGAGGCGCCGGCTGCGCGCCGCGGCGCCCCTGCGGAGAGGGCGGCCGACTGCAGCACGCGCGGCTCCGGCTGCCCGCGCCCGCCGGGGTCCAGGTCGCGAAACCCCCGCGCTCGGGGTCCGGGCCGCCCACGCCAGGCAGGCCTGCGCCGCCTCCTCCTCCTCGGGGCCGCGGCGTCTCGTGCCTGCGCGGGGCTAGCGTGGGCGCCGGGGCCGCAGCCGGCGCGCGCGACGCGCGGGGGCCCGCAGGAGCCCTGGGGGCCGAGGAGCTGGACGCTCGCCGGCGCACAGCCTCCTCCTCATGCCGCGCGGGGCCCCGGCGTCCCCCGGCGGCCGCGGGAGCCGAATGCAGGCGAGGGCGGCGTCCCGGCCAGCGGCGAGCGCGCTCCGGCTCCGGCTCCTGCCTCCGCCCGCTGTCGGCCCGGCCGCAAGGGCGGCAACCGCAGCAGCATTACCGCCGCCGGCCCGGGGTGAAGCGCCCCCGCCGGCGCCGCCCCCGCACGGCCCGCGGACACCAGGCGGAGAGCCGCGGGTCGCCTTGCGCTGCGGGCAGGGCCGAGGAGCCCAAACAGAGGGCGGTCCGGAGCCGTCGGAGCCGCGTCCGGGTCGCTGAAGAGGCGAACTCCAGAGGGCGGGGGGAGCCGCGGAAGAACACGGGCTCGGCGACGCGGCCGGAGACCCCCGAGGGCTCCGCGCGCTCGCTCGGAACTGCAGGCGGCGCTGCGCCGGCCGCGAGGAAACCTGGCGGCCCCCTCCCACCCCTACCCTCCCCTCGCCCGAAACACCGCGCCTCCTGATTGGCCCGCGCCGCCACCCCCGCTCCCCGCGCGAGGACCCGCGCCCCGACCGCGTCCTGCGTCACCGCGGCCCCCGCCCGCGCGCGGGGACCCCGGCGCTCGCCGCGCTCCCGGGGGCTGAGGGACCGCTCTTGAGCCTCGGATATGTTCCACCCTGGGGATCGATAATGAACGATGCTGTGCTTGTATCTCAACGAGGAGGCTTCAGTGATGTGCGTTCCTCCCGAAATATACTGTCCGGAAACAAGGTGTTTTCTGATCCTGGATTAATGAAACCTCCCATCCCGCACTAACTATAGAAATATTACCATCGGGATGTGATAACGATCTACGTATATCTCTCATAATAGAACTTGCCTTCAGCTCTGAAGGTGAGCCCTGGGTAACCCTGCTTTAGCTGTATTTAGGCGGCACAGAAAAGACTTCTGTGCAACCAATAGGCCCTTAAATGCTGCAGCACCAGCCAGTTTCAATGGGCAAATTGCTTTACCGCACCTCCAAGGTCGTGGTCTACCCTTTGTTCAAAAGCTACTTTTTTCCTCCTAGCTCGTCCTTAGCTATATCACATTTTTCCAAAGTGTGTTTGTGGGTGTTTCTTTTGCAACTAGTCACGTAGGAGGTCGCTGGATGCCCCCTGCTGCCATTACTTGCTCAGTATTTCTAGATGCAGTGGTATTGAATTACCACTTGATTGCCAGCAGATTTAGTACCTTCTTAGCAAGAGACCCATGCCTTCCATCGACTCTGATATAGCACTATGCTCTGTGGAGCCCGAAACACCTGAGTTTATAATTCTGCCAAGGCCTTTTATTAACTGTGAAACTTATGCCAAGCCACTACCCTCTCCAAGCCTCTCTTCTCAGTCTTCAAATGGTGGGTGTGATACCTTACAGGGTATGGGATTAAACCTGATAACTGTGCAAAAAGCTAAACATGAGTTCTGGCACCTAAGGGGTTTCCTTACATCTCTTTAGAGGGTCGACTGGATAGAATCATCAAATTCATCTTCATTTTGCTTTTTGGAGTAGTTACAAGTTACTCGACCTCTTTGGCTAATTTGATATTTAATGTAAAAGTAAATGACAGTTTTGTGACAGTTTTGTAACATTTTGTAACATCTGAAATACAAAATTGAGCAATATATAAAATAAGAGATAAAAAATCTCTTGTAAAAAAAATAACCTATACTAGTGGAGAAATCCATGAATGGTGAGAAAGCAAAATTTTCTTGTTTCCTTCTCTCACCCTGCTGACTTTTATCTGTCTTTATTTTCACCAGATCAACTATTGTTTACAGTGCTTAATGCCACTAATACCATTGCTGGCTTGGTAATGGATAATTCTCAGGGAAGACTGGGATTTTGAAAGGAAAGTTTACCATAAAACTGAATGAGAAGATTAACATCTTAGAAATTAATGATTAATCTTATTTTAAGAACTCTGAAGTCTCTGTATAGATGGGCTTGGCTGGCATAGACGACTGCCATTGCTCTCTCTCTCCCAGGTTCACCACAGTACTTGTTAAAACTGATTAGTTCTTCCCCGGATTTGAGCAAGTACTAAAAAACCAGTTTAGTCGGTGTGCTCTTTAGCACCATTGGTCACCAGCCACACAGAGAGGTAACCATGCCTCTTGCCAAGCAGCCTGGGGTTGAATCTCAGTCATTCTGGTCAAATGATCTCAAAGGTTAATTAAAACTCCCTGTGCTTCCACTTTCTCATCAGCTAAAGAAAATAACCATAGTACCTGTTAGGATCATCGTGAGGATTAAATTGAGTGAGTCAGTGCTTTAAAAAGCTTGGGAGAACCTGGTACCTAGTAAGCACTATTTGAATATTTGGTTTAAAAATTGTTTTAAAATCTTCCCTTTAGATCACTCTGTGCCAACAGTAACAAGTTGTGCTGGTCTATTCCTGTTTAAAAACACCTACTGAGTCAGCCTTGAAGTCTCAGTCTAATAGTCTGAAGTATGCCTCAAGGTCTCAGCTTGTTTATAAAGCAAAGAGCAATGAAATACTCAGAACCAAATCTTTTCAGCCCAGATTATCACCTGATCCTTTCTCAGGAGCCCAGTAAGGCCCACAGCAGAAGGGTGACCTACTCAGGTTCATTTTATGATACCAAAAAGACCTTAAACTTAAGGTAGTAAGACATAGTAGCAAGACCCAGTACGTTTCATGTTAGCTGTTTTGAGCTGAAGTGAAGTGAAAGTCACTCAGTCATGTCTGACTCTTTGCAACCCCATGGACTATACGGTCCTAGGAATTCTCCAGGCCAGAATTCTGGAGTGGGTAGCTGTTCCCTTCTCCGGTAGATCTTCCCAACCCAGGGATCGAACCCAGGTCTCCTGCATTGCAGGCGGCTTCTTTCCCAGCTGAGCCACCAGACAAGCCCAAGAATATTGGAATGGGTAGCCTGTCCCTTCTCCAGCAGATCTTCCTGACCCAGAAATTGAACTGGGGTCTCCTGCATTGCAGGCAGATTCTTTACCAGCTGAGCCATGGAGCTGAGGAGAACCAACAATTAAGTTACAACTAATGGTTTTCTATTTATATTAATCAAAACTATATTACTGAGATTGTAATTACCATGAAAAAAGGAAAAATGTACTTGTTTAGTGAGATGGATGACATTTCACTTGGTTTGTGCTAGGATAAATAGTACCCATTGAGTGTTTTGGCCTTGCTCATAACCTTGGTTAAATAAAAATAAGTAAGTTTTTTTCCTTGTGAATTGGGGGGGAAAAGAGAATGAAAGAGCACATAGAATCTCACTTCTATGATTGCTTACGGTTTAGACCTCCATATTACAATCACTGATTAAATATAGTAATTTTATATGTTTAAGTACATGGTCTCAGCATCTGAGATTCAGTTCAAGAAAATTGTTAGGTTGATAAATTGTGCTTAGACAGTTGAATTTTTTTACTTACATAATTGGAATGTAGATTGTATGAGTTAGATATTGGCTTGATTTATAAAATGGAGTACATAGTCCAAAATATTATTACAGAAACTTCCCTTAAATAAAGCCCATCTTCCCACTGATTTCCATTATAAATATAGTCAGAGTTCTGCTGAGAAAAAAAAATTAGTCCCTACCTTTAAGTTATCTTACATCTGAGATCAAACATAATCCCCTTAAAGCCAAAATCTTAAAGTTGTATATGTAATTATATTACTATATTATACTTAAATTTGAAAAAGAAAACCACTATGGTGGCAACAATTCCTAATTCAACAGTTGACCCAAATTTCATACTCATCTTACATTGCCTTAATCTTTTCATCCTGAATCCCAGATCATTCTTCCACATCATAAAAATGCCCTGTAGCATTTTCAAGTATCAAATAACTTTCCTATCATTTTCATAACATCCCTTTGGGGTATTGTTAGTATGTCATTTGGGCGTGTGAAAACTAAAGCTCAATGAGGTACAATGTCTGGCCTTGGGTCACATGGTGATCAGTAGTAACAGAACTGAGGAGAGAGCCAGAATGTTAACAGCTTCATTCAGTGCCCTTTCCACAAACTACACTAGCTTTTATTTTCACACATATTTCTTTGCCTATCTGGGCAAATGTTTGATTTGGCGTATATTTTCAATTCTTCTAGAAAGGAATATATGCAATCCATTTTTTTCAAACTTTCTCTACCAATTTTGTCTCAGACATCTGTTTCAGGAACTATATTCATTGGATTTTCGGAGAAGGCAATGGCAACCCACTCCAGTACTCTTGCCTGGAGAATCCCAGGGATGGGGGAGCCTGGTGGGCTGCCATCTACGGGGTCGCACCGAGTCAGACACGACTGCAGCGATGCAGCAGCAGCAGCATTTGTTGGATTGGAACCCACTGTAGTATTCTTGCCAAGAGAATCCATGGACAGAGCAGTCTGGGGGGCTACTCTCCATGAGGTCTCAAAGAGTCAGCCACAACTGAGCGTCTGAACACAACAGGATGGTGCATAAAGTTAGGGCCCAATTGTTTAGTTCTTGCCTATCATCAGTTATTAAGTCAGAATGAGAAAATGAATTGATCGTGTTTGCTCCATTCATTCTTCTCAGTTTAATGCTAGGTTTACTCCACAGATGGCTTGTTTTGCCTCAAAGGGAATCTGAGCAGCCACTTATTTGCCCCTGAAAAAGAAGCCTACCAATGGCAATGGAATTAGAATCTGTTTGGAAAACTTGGAGGATAGAGACAGACTACAGACAACAAAAAGCAAAGATAGGAGATTGAAAAAGTAGGCAAGTCACATACCAGGCAATGCCCTGTGCCTTACGTGGAGAGGGCACTATTCTGGCTTCTTCCAGGGTAAACACAGAGGCTGTCTCCGGACCTGCTTGAGGCTTCCTCTGAAAGCTGAGGAAAATCAGAGTCCTGGCACATGTGTAACCCAGATACACAGGCACCTCCAGTGCTGTGTACACCAGCTGGGCAACTCAGCCCTAGAGAGAAGACTCATCAACTTGGCTACCGAACAGACAAACAAATATACACATTCCTTGGACAGCATAAAATTCTGAACAGCACTTCAGTTCAGTTCAGTCACTCAGTCGTGTCCGACTCTTTGCAACCCCATGAATCACAGCACACCAGGCCTCCCTGTCCATCACCAACTCCCGGAGTTTGCTCAGATTCATGCCCATGGAGTCGGTGATGCCATCCAGCCATCTCATCCTGTGCCATCCCCTTCTCCTCCTGCCCAGCATCAGGGTCTTTTCCAATGAGTCAACTCTTCGCATCAGGTGGCCAAAGTATTGGAGTTTCAGCCTCAGCATCAGTCCTTCCAATGAACACCCAGGACTGATCTCCTTTAGGATGGACAGGTTGGATCTCCTTGCAGTCCAAGTGACTCTCAAGAGTCTTCTCCAACACCACAGTTCAAAAGCATCAATTCTTCGGCGCTTAGCTTTCTTCACAGTCCAACTCTCACATCCATACATGACCACTGGAAAAACCATAGCCTTGACCAGATGGACCTTTGTTGGCAAAGT